TGATGCCTACAACAACAATAGACATTTTAGACTTTATACAATTATACTACTTATTCACTTTAAATTTCCATGTGTACCAAACATTGGAATTAAAATTTTCAGTAATGATATTCCAATAAATCAAACACTGTAATTTAAATTCTCACTTTATTCTCAATTATTCATCTCCCATGAAATTATAATTCTTTTCTCACGTAATTCCTTCCTTCCAACCAAATATCTCGTTAATTCGTGAAAATGTCAAAATAAATAAGTAAAAGAAAACATTTAAATATACCTTATTCGTACATACTATGTTTCACGAGCGCTTATCAAGCCGAAGGTTATGGCTGCCATTGTTCCAATCAATGTTGGCTCGTGTGCATGAATAGCGGGTAATTACACATTTTACCATCACGTTTTCAGCTACCCAATATATATATATATATATATATATATATATATATATATATATATATATATATATATATATATAGATTAATACCCAAAATCGTTCTCGACTATAGTGATTTTTCTCAATTTCGTCCTAAACGATTTTGGTGACCTAATATCGTCCCAGACTTTTGTGTTTCGCTCAATTTAGTCCTAAACTTTTGTGTTTTTGCTCAATTTAGTCCCTCATTTGTTATTCTGTCCATTTGGTGTTAAATAAATAGACAATTCAGTAATTTTAATATTGGCATCTCTTTACTCATAGACATGTGAACTGCGAAATCTCTTTTTTTTTTTTTTTTTTTTTTTTACGAATTACTCCTAAAACTGCGAATATAAAATTTGATTTGCAGGTCCGGGAGTAATTCTGGGTGTAATTCGTACAAGAAAGAGGAATTTCACACTTCACAAGTTGAAAGTAAAGAGAGATCAATATTGACATTACTGAATTGTCCCTTTTATTTAACACCAATTTGACGGAATAACAAATGGAGGACTAAATTGAGCGAAACACAAAAGTCTGGGACGATATTAGGTCACCAAAGTCGTTTAGGACGAAATTGAGAAAAACCACTATAGTCGAGGACGATTTTGGGTATTAACTATATATATATATATATATATATATATATATATATATATATATATATATATATATATATATATATATATATATATATATATATATATATAATCGCAATCAGGTGCGAATGCTTCGCCCAGGCGCGAAATAGGAATGAATTCTGTTCGTCCACGTGTCCAGATTTAATGGATGAGAAACACTGATTTTTTTAAAAAACACAGTGGCATTTTCGTAATTAATTGAACATCGAAGTGCAAGTAAAATGTATTACAAGTGCATGTAAAATGTATTATAGTTGCAAGTAAAAATTTACACTGAGCATCAATACTTAGTTGCACCTATAGTGCTAAGTAGTTATACCTATAGTTCTACGTAGTTGCACACATAGTTATAAGTAGTTGCACCTAGGTGTATGAATGTTTGCGAGTGGTTTTCAGGGGTATTACTACCCGCTGAACTCAGATCAATGAATGTTAACAAGGTAAAATTACATGCACTTATAGGTGAAAGTAGGTGCACCTATAGTTATAAGTAGTTGCACCTATAGTTATAAATAGTTGCACATATAGTTATAAGCACACCCAAGTGCATGAATGTTTGCGGAAAGTGAATGCTAACAAGGCAAAATTACATGCACTTATAGGTGAAAGTAGGTGCACATATAGTTATAAGTAGTTGCACCTATAGTTATAAATAGTTGCACATATAGTTATAAGCACACCCAGGTGCATGAATGTTTGCGGAAAGTGAATGCTAACAAGGCAAAATTACATGCACTTATAGGTAAAAGTAGGTGCATTTGTAAGTGATTTTACTTGCACTTCGATGTTCAATTATTTACGAAAATGCCACCGCATTTTTTTTTTAAGTTATTAGATATGGACACGTGTCGCGCGCTGATTCGTTCGCATTTCCCTCCTGAGCACTTATTCGCACCTGAGTGCATCCCTATATATATATATATATATATATATATATATATATATATATATATATATATATATATATATATATATATATATTAATGATAAGAGGAACGTATAATCACTAATCAAAGGTGTATAACGGATAAATTTCATTCAAATGTAATAGTTTACAAATCACATAAAAGAGGTAAATCACATTAAAAAGACTTTGTATGCCAACTCAATCAACCAAGAGTATAAATTTATTTTTATTTTGATTAGCTTAATATATCTAATGTAGGTGAAAGTTGAAGTTGTAATTCTCTACAATCTACAAAATATTTGGTGATATTGCATTGAATAGAGTTATAGTATATTTACTCTTATTTTCATTCATCATATATTTGTTTTCTTACAATAAAACTACGACATGTAAGAAATTTTACTAGTTAAGTCATTGGGATATACTTATTATTTTCCTATCAAATGATATTAGTTGTATGCAATACGTATCATAGTCCTTTATATTTACCAATTATCTGTTAAAAATAAACCCATCACGAGTAAATTAAAAAAAAATATATTAAATCTAATAGTTTAGACGGTTGGTAAGCGGATTGCTAATACAAATACAAGATCCGAAGTAAGCTAGTCAAAAATACATTAAATGTTTTGTTAATAAAATCTAATGCAAATTTTTATCGTCCTAAGAAAAACTAATAATATTTTCCTTAATCTCTTCTCACAAAATATTGCATTACCTAAGGTGACTAGCGAAGCCAAATACTACAACATTTGATATTCATTAATTATGCATTATTTGGCGGATACCGTTATAAAATAATTAACATTACTTCCTAATATGTTTTCTCTCTCACAAAAAAAAAAAAAAAAAAAAACATTACTTCCTAATATATGACATCATTTAAATTTTGGAAAAGAAAATTTGTTCATTTTTGTTGTATAGGTTAATTTAAATTTTGATTTGGTATATTTTATTATCTTCTTACACTATATAGACTAGGCTAAATTACCTTATACTAACCAATATCAGGCAAATCTTTCAATTTTCAAGTTTTACAAGTTATCATCTGGTTACCATGTTAGTTGGCTGTCACGTGGCGTTTTAAATTACCTTGTCACGTTGCTTTCTTCTTCGGCCTTCCTCTGTTTCGTCCCTGTTTCACATTGCTACATCAGAACAAACAACTATCACGATGCGCTCCACAAGAGCATCATGTTCTTCGAAGGCCAATGCTCCGGCAGACTCCCCAGACCAACGCCTTCGCCGGTGTGGCAGGCATCCAAGGAGCACTTTGGGGACCCACCGGAACGTCTAGATGACGAGGGAGACGTGGTCATGGACCTCGAGGAGATATCTGCGCAGCGCAGGAGTGGAGGTATCATGGGTGCTTAATGAGCACCTCCGTGTGAGTTTTCTTCTGTTTTGTTTGTTTTTTACTTTGTTTTCCTTTCTTCCCCTGTTTTGTTTATGAATTGTATTTTTTGGAACTGTCAAGATGCAGGTGGTAAGCGTTTCCTCCGCGCCCTTAAACATCTTATCCAGAGTCACAGACCAAGAATGAAATTCAAAATAATGGATAAACTATACAAGTATAAATAGTACAAATTTCCAAAAAAAAATAGTATAAATAGTACAATTGTAGGGTCAAACATTCAATTCGGCGGTAAAAGAAAATTGTCTCTGTTTCAACTTTTCATTTGACTTCCTAAAGCAGAAATTCAAAGATTTCCCATCTTCTTTGCAACTGTAAAATGTTTATTTTTTATATTGGGAAAATGACACATTTTTCCTCTGAAATTATAAATTTACAGTATTTATTTTCTCTGAATTATTCATGTATCTATATTAGTTTCTTAAATTAGAGTTTTTTGCACTTTTAGTCCCACGACTATAGTGGCACTGGCAGAATTGATCCATGACTTTTGAACCTTGCAATTTTAGTCCACGACTATTGATTTTTTTGCAAAAATGGTCCTTCCGGCCACTTTTCCGTCAAAATTTCACCGAAAATAAAATTCTCCATTTTTAGCCGGGTTAAAATTGACATTTTACTTATCTCAAAAAATTAAAAGAAAAAAATTAATATTTGACTACATACAATATTACTGGGCTACATACTACTGCCCCAGGCGGCGGAGTTCCTAGAGTAGGCAGGGCTGTCAGTAAGCGGCGGAGCGGCCGTGACGTTCCTCGGGCTCCGACAGTAACATTGGAGTGGTACATATACTCCGCCATTAGATATCTATGAATTGACTGATGTTATTAATTTTTAATGAAAATTAAAATAATCAAACAAATATTACTTCTCCCTAAAGAAAAATTTTGAAAGGATAATAGGATTACTCTTTCCACATGTAGATAGTCTAAAAAGGTGATAAATTTAATGATTGAGTGATCGGCCAATGGTCACGGACTCAGGGGCTCAGGGCACTGGGACAGATTTGTCTCCACAGACCACAGGAGACAAATGAATTTCCCTTCTATTTATATCTTCTCCCAAAAAGTTGAATCCTAAGGTCCCACACTCTAAACAAAGTATTTAAAAAGATATAAATACTCATTGATCTTGTTTGGTAAAAAATTGGTTTATAAATTAATTTTGATTTATTTGACTACTATTAATTGTTTGATTTAGTTAAAATATCAATACACGTATTTGGTTAATTTACTTTTTGCAATTCAAAAATGCTAAAACTCAAAAAGCTACTCCAAACAATTTTTTCAATTAGTTTTATGAGAAAAGAAATTATATCAAACAGCTATCAGCTAACAACTAATTTACCAAAGATTTTTCTACAATCAATAATGTTATTAACTAGTTATACCTTCTAATTAACGCAATCAGCTAATAGCTAACAGCCATTTAAACCGGGCCAATGACTCAGCAGACAAGTCAAAATTTATTTGAGCACAAAAGCTCTGCTTACATTAAAAATAATCTTCACGTAAATTTAAATATTGATCTTTTCTCTCAAAAATTGATTGAATCAGTGAAATAAGCCCGAGTGAGGTAAGCCCTTTCGAGCTGCCCCTTATTTATATCTCAACACCAATTGGATGACTCCTTATTTACTAGTGTCACCTTCCTTCCGAATTTCCGCCAAAATTTGTGCTTACAATTGCCCCACTCTGTACTTGGCTATACATTTACATTTCTCAGGAACCCAAATACATTCTTTTGGACTTTTCATCACAGATTTGGGCTAGGCTACCATGTCTCTCTTAACACAATCCCATCACATATTTCACCCAAAAATTGCATCTTTATGCATCTTCTGTTAGAATTTCAGTGGAGGCGATTAAGAAAATGATGGTGTACTGGAAGTCCTGGTTGCGGTCTCTGAAGAACAAGCAGAGTCTGTTGGTTTTGAAGTTGGGGCTCTCTGTTCTGGTGGTCAGTCTTGCTTTTAGGATACTTTTTTCTGGAACCACTCCGATTCTTCAAATCCCTCAAACTACTCCGATATTTCTTGGTTACTCTTTGCCTTCACCATTGCCTGTTCATCTTCGTTTGCCCCAAACTGTTCATCATGATTTCCCTCAAGGTACTCAATTTTGCTTTTTTGCTTTTTTTGGTGCTTTGAATACTACCTTTCTTGTGATAGATGTTTACTTTGCCCAGCTTTTTCTACATCTATATATAAAGGGGAACTGTGATTTGATGTGTAGTTTGCTTGTTTGTTAGACTGAAAGCACAATAATGATGCATATACAACTTTCAAGTTTTTGTATAAATCTGGAAACTTTGCAATTGAAGAATGGCAAAATGCAAAAAGTAAATAAAGAAAACCAATGCTCTTAATAACTCTCTGTTTAATTTGTTTTTTTGGATTAGTAGTTTAACTTGCCCACAAAGGCGAAATTCCCTGACCCCCAGCCCTTACACCTTGGCCTGACAGTGACAGTATAGTAGAGTAGAGAGGTAAATCAGGGTTACTCATCGATACATTAGGTCGGAGGACCCGTGCCGGGGCCCACACCACACTGCGGTTACCCATGCTCAATCCTATGTCCTTGTCCACGATCTACCACTCAGAACTAACTGAAATTGTTTTTGTGTAATTGTGTGTCTGTTTGTATGACAACTGACACTGTTCATGTGGGAGTGAGAGTAATTAATTAATTATCATTAGGATGTGATTGTAATTATCTTTATATGGTTTTGGTTATGAATGGATTGAAATGAACATGATGAAGATTTGCTACCTGCATTCTTTTACAGACATTGTTTTTGAGGAATTCGTTTGTTTTGAAAAAGAACAGAAAATCGTCATTCTTTTGGGCTACAAGGTTATCCATATTGTCACAAACTGAACCAAATTTGCTTTTTTGGATATGTGTATAGAGAACACAGAGACGTGTGATCTCTTTGTTGGAGATTGGATTCATAATCCAGATGGTCCTTCTTACACTAATGAGACATGCAGTTTCATTGGAGGCCATCAAGATTGTATGAAGAATGGTCGACCAGATACCGAGTTTCTTTACTGGAGATGGAAGCCACGTGATTGCAACCTGCCTCGCTTCAAGCCAAAGAAGTTTCTTGAGTTAATGAGGGACAAAACCTGGGCATTAATCGGTGATTCAATATCCAGGAACCATGTTCAATCCATTCTTTGCATGCTCTCCAAGGTAAAAGCCGTCTGTCTGCTTGCTAGTAATATGATGAAGTAACACGATAACTCACTGAAATGATTCGTTTAAAAGATTTTCCACTTTTTATGTTTTGCATCTTAGTTGATTTGCTTCCATCACATTTTCGAGAGGTAAAGTACTTGACTTGACCCTTAACTGATCTCCACCCAACAATCCCGCTAGCCATTTGACTTGGTCCTTCACCGGCCTCTGCCCAACAAATCATATTGTTGAACCCATGACCTATAGTCTAGGTTTGACTCGAATATTGAAGAATGTGTTACTTCTCAACTAAAAGTCAGGCCGATAGAGTACAGTTATAGTTGGACTACACATTTATATTTTTATAGTAAAGATGTGGATTTTTTCAGGTGGAACAACCTATTGAAGTGTACCATGATGAGGAATACAGATCCAAAAGATGGATCTTCCCTGCTTTCAACTTCACTGTTTCAGTCATTTGGTCCCCATTTCTGGCAGAAGCCGCCATTTTTGAGGACTACAATGGGGTTTCCACGTCTGAAATCGAGCTGCATCTCGACAGGCTTGACAGGAACTGGACTCAGCATTTCGATAGCTTCGACTACATGATGTTTTCCAGCGGCGAATGGTTTGTAAAATCAACAATCTATTTTGAAAACGATACAGCATTGGGCTGCCACAACTGCCCCAAAAGGAACTTGACACAGCTCGGGTTCAACTATGCTTACAGAGAAGTTCTGAGGCACGTCTTCAGCTTCATCATATCATCAAACCACCGGGGGACGATCTTCTTCAGGACTTCCACACCGGATCATTTCGAGAATGGTGAGTGGCATAGCGGAGGGAGCTGCAGAAGAACAGAACCTGCAAAGGAAGGCGAGTTTGAGTTAACCGAGATCAACAAGATTCTGCGCCGCATTGAGCTGCAAGAATTTGAGAAGGTATTGGCTAATGCTGGTGAAAAGGGGGTGAAGCTTAAACTGTTTGATGTGAACCCGCTTTCGCTGTTGAGGCCCGATGGTCATCCCGGTCCTTATAGATTCTTCCAACCATTCGCGAAAGGCAAGAATGAGAGTGTTGGTAATGACTGTTTACATTGGTGTTTGCCTGGGCCAATAGATTCCTGGAATGATTTGCTAATGGAGATGGTTGTCCGTGATGGGGAGGATCAGTTTGCTGCTGCCATTGATGTTTCTTGAAGCTCATTATGCATTTGCCATTGTGGATGACTTCTCTGTTTATATATACTTCTCATCATTCATCAACATAAACTGGTCTTCATATATTATTCATCTTTTCAATCTAACTTCATAGAATGGTAGCATAATATTTTTTGATGGGTCAAGCAAGGCGTACAAATGTTTTTTCTCTTTTTGCTTACTCTAATACTAAATCAAAATTTGTCTATGGGTGGATCTCTTGTATGTTGGTATAGTCAAAGACTATTTGCTTTTAACTAGTTTCTTTATTAGCGTTTTCCTTTTATATATCAAATGGTTTGCGAACCATGTTGTTGATAAACGTGCTAGATCTACACTATTACCACTAGGACTTGAGGAGTGGCTTTCAAGCCCTCCCTCGTGTACAAGGTAGGCCAGCCTTGGCCTAAACCATGACTAGGACGAAGGTACATGGCATCTAATTTTTAGAGGTCCAATTTTTTTAAAAATAATTTATTTATGATTCATTATTTTTATATGGAGTACTTAATAATTTAAATTGGTTTTAGAAGATATAACTAGTTGATAACATTAGTTGATGGTAGAAAAAGTGTTTGGTAAATTAATTGTTAGCTGATAGCTGTTTGGTATAATTTCTTCTCTCAAAAAAGTTAATTGAAAAAGTTGTTTTGAGCAACTTTTTTAATTTTAGCATTTTAGAGTTACAAAAAGTTAATTAACCAAACATTTATATTGATTTTTTAAATAAGTCAAATAATTAATAGTTATCAAATAAGTCAAAATTGACTAATAAACTAACTATTTTACCAAATATAGCTTTTTGACTTCGTGGATTCAAGCAAGCTATTTAGATGATGGACTCTGGTTTAAATGGGTATGAGGTCGAGCTTAAGTGGAGGCGGTGTTGACTCTTTGTGTTTCAATAGGTTGAAAAAGTATAAATGGACACATACTACAATGACATAGAGTCAGTAGCATTCAAAAAATATAGGTATGAGATTGATTCCTTTAAGATATGTGGTTTGGGGTATTATTAAAAGATTTTTGTTTAAAGGGATTTTGCAGTAGTTTAATTCTACAAATTAATATGACGATTAGAATTAGATATTGAGGAGTAACAAATTGCAATATCAAACAAATAAGAAAATACAATACTATCCGTGAATCATTATCATTTATCACCACGCTTATTGTGATGATGTTCAAAGAAAAAAGTTGCATACATTTTCATTTTTGTACTCATTTGTTAATTTGGTGGAAGTAAATGGGTGATATAGTGGCATTAGCAATGAATGCATTCATGATCCATTATTACTGTTTGGACTTCTATGCAGGGACGGAACCAGAAAACTTGAGTTGGGGGACCGGTGTAGTAGAGAAAATTTACAATGTTAGTCGACATTATAATTAATCGCATCATATTATTATAGAGTAAATACCTAAAATGGTCCATAGACTATAGCTAAATTCACAAATTGGTCCTTGACTTTCAATTTCAACCAACTAAGTCCTTAACTTTGCAATTTTGACACGATTTGGTCCTCCATCTATTTGACCGTTTGTTGACTGTGATTTTTGAGGATATATATGTAATTTCATGGTCCACCGTCGGTTTTTTAAGGTTCCGGTTGCATTTCCAGACCGCACTGTTACATTTGAATCCACTGCCGAAAGCAATCTACCAAATGTGGTCGCCTTTCTTCATCCTCCCTTTGGATTCAATGTAGTTGAGTTCGTACTAGAGCGAAGAAGACGGCGTGTTTCTGAACCAGCGCAACATCATCCTGGAGGCCTCCACGTGCTCCGACGAGAGCTGAAGGTTTTTCTGGAGATCGTCGATCACGGTAAACAAACGGTCAAATAGATGGAGGACCAAATCATGTCAAAATTGCAAAGTTAAGGACTTAATTGGTTGAAATTGAAAGTCGAGGACCAATTTGTGAATTTAGCTATAGTCGAGGGACCATTTTGGGTATTTACTCATTATTATATTTACCATACATTATTGTGATTATTATTGATAATGATTTCTAATTATACTATGTGTAATAAAATATGAAATACATAATTATATGAGTACGATCGACATATGTGTCAATCATTACTTTAGAAATTTTTCACATACCACAAAATATAATCTTAATTATAATAAAGTCATATGGTCTTGTGAAAATTAAATGCTGATATTAATGGTTAAATGTTGGTATTAACAACATTTAATTTTCACAAGACCATATGGTGTGTGTGTGTGTGTATATATATATTAATTTATGTTATTTATATTATTAATTATTATTATTATTATTTTCATTAATAATAATAATAATGAAAATAATAATAATAATAATTAATAATATAAATAAAATAAATTTATATATATATATATATATATATATATATATATATATATATATATATATATATATATATATATATATATATATATATATGAATTGTAACTATGTTGAAATTAGGTTATGTATTTTTTTTAATAAATAATATTATTATAATGTTGTCCAATATTCATTCCGTGCATTGCATTGGTAACATACTAGGAGTAGACATACTCAAGATCAAATATGTATACCACTAGCTGCGATTAATAATAGTAACTTTTTGTATCATACTATTTTCAATTATTAAATTAAATATTGTAAATACAATATCATAATTATTTTGTCATATACTTAGTAAAAATGTAATTTTAAACAATTAAATTGTGGTTCATGTTTTCTTCTTCTGTACTTCAAATACCATTATTAAAAATATTTTTTACCTATTCTAACATTACAAACAAATCTTTAATATTTAGTCCGTGCATCGCACGGGACAATACTAGTAATAACAATAACAACAACATTTATTTAAATACTAGTTTTTTACGCGCATTGCGCGATTGGGATAATGCCCAATTTTTTTTTTTAAATAAGTACTTTAAAGTATATTAAGAATTTGCGTATTTAAATAGGTAATTCTTCTCCCAAAGGTTGAGTCCCCAACCCTAAGGGCCCCCCACACTCCGACCCGACAGAGCATTGTGGGAAGTTGTAAATCACGGTGACTCAATGGTTCAGCAGACAGGACCAAATGCCGGTGCGAACAAGGAATCTGCCCACTTTGGACATAATTCCCGCACTGCCGCTGCCGAGGTTCAAACCTTGGTCTCTTCTCCCAAATACTGCCCACTAAACCATTGAGCTAAGCCCGTGCGGGTTAAATAGGTAATTCTAAGTTTACAAATGCAAGATAATATAGTCAAGATTGATTATAATTGTCAATAAAATAATTGTATAGGTATGGTTGAAACCAAATACGGGACATAAGGGAGAACAAATAAAAATTAGGGCATAAAATATTAAATATATACTAATATTGTTTGAGGAGATTTCGACATTAGGATTTGTGGTTAAGTTCTATTAAGACTTTAATATTAGAATTAGATTAATGGTGTAATTATAATTCTATATTAGACGTTAATATTAGAATTAGACTAACGGTGAATTAACGGAAAAGTTAAATGGATAATCATATAATTAAGGATAAATTAGAGAAACTTTAAAAAAAATAAAACCTGAACAATTTGAACTATTCATTTGATTTAATAATTTGGCGGTCATTTTTTCTACCCAATGTTAATAATTAAATAAATTCGTCGGTCAAATCCGCTAATATAATCCGCTAACTGCGGATTGTCAAACAAGGACATTGCAAGATAGTTCTCACTTCAATTTGTTGTGTGATTTGAATACTCTCTTTGTCACAAAATCTCTCAAGTAGTTAATATAGTTGGTTTTATTAATTATATTTTTTTTTAATTTTTTCATGGTATTAATAAAATACTTGGTAAATAAATATATAACATTATTTTGTATTATAACTTTGATATTTAATTAGAAAAATAGTGCACAAAAAAGATAATAGACAATGTAGTGAATATAATCAATTGATGAATTTGAATGTAAAAATTTTTACATTTGAGAAAAATAAAGACAATATAACTAATGAAAATATTTCTCTTAATTAATTTATTGATAATGAATAATTTTTTTTCACTGAATTAAGACATTGTAAGGACAATGTAGCGAATATAATCAATTAATAAATTTGAATATAAAGAATTTTTATATTGTAGAAAAATAAAGACAATATAACTAATACAATTATTTCTCTTATTTAATTTATTGATAATGAATAATTTTTTTTTTGAATAAAGGCATTGTGGACACATAATTCTAAATTAAAGAAAAGCATATCTATAATTTTTTGTTGTAGCTACTAAATTATTATTTATATAATTTAATAAGAGTAAAATAGAGTACTAATTATGTCAATTTTTGATTGGGATGAGGTTCGAACCTAAGACCTTTTTTTTTATTGAAATCAATGAGTAAGTTAACGGTGAATTATCGGTAATTCTTAAAATTTTAACGGAATTAGTAACGGTGTGTGGGTATTTTAGGAAATTTTAGTGTAAAATTTAAATCTTATCCATCTTTTAATCAATCTGAGCCATTCATTTGATTAAAATTTGTGACTGCCATTTTTTTTTACCCATTATAGGCCTAACTCTCTTGGGCTCTTATTAGTATAGTAGATAAATTCTCACTTAACATTAAATAAAAAAATTTTGTCAATTATTTTGTCACCAAATATTTTCATAATTAACTTATATTCATTTTACTGGTTAACTAAATATTTCAAAATTTAAGAGATAAAGACAAAAATCAAGACGAATTAAATAATCAATATTAATTTGTGTCAATTTCAAAACTAATCATTTAAACTAGCAAATGTACATCTTAAAAATGTAAATAAATGATTAAAACACACAATAAATCACTAATTAGTTAATCAACATATATAACTAATAAAACCAAAGCATATATCTCAAATTTGGAGATTTTTTAAATTAAAATGTATACTTGATGTCATTTATTATTAAAATCTTGATAAAAGAAATAAGATAATAAAGAAAAATGGTCACTTTAATTATTTGATTGATTTCTTTTTATTTAATGAATTTTGACATTTAATATATATTTTGAGTTCATTTAATATCAACATAATAGATTATTTAAAAAAAAAAATTAAAGGGGGACCAAAAGTGTATTTTATTCTCACTATATCAATATATACATACATATTTACAAAAAAAAAAATTAAGGTGAGAGTAGGGGTGGGGGTGGGGGGCCAGGGCCCCCTAACCCCAAAGGTAGTTCTGTCCCTGCTTATATGTTAGTCGTCTATTAGGACTCTAGTTATGTGTCCTCTATATTATTTTTGTACCTGACTGTTATGATTTACATCAGATATTCTAGCCTCATCTGGTACTCTGTTATGGAGACAAAGTGATGAGCAGAAGACAAACTGGTGGTAGGAGGAGGAGGGGTGGCAGCCACCGTAGGAACAGTCCGGTTGTAAAACCTACAATAGTTCGGCTTCTTTTGTCATTGGCTGTGTTGCGGGGTTGGTCAGTTCGGCTGTTGGACATCCACAATGCATTCTTGAATGATGATTTGGCTGAGACTGTGTATATGCGCCAGCCACCCGGTTATGAGGACAAAACGTTGCCTAATCATGTGTGCTTATTGCAATGCTCGTTGTATGGGCTTAAGCAGGCACCTCGTGCTTGGTTCACGCGGTTGCATAATTTTCTGGTAACGGTTGGCTTTACTCCATCTAAGACTGATGTGTCTTTGTTTATTTATTCTCACAGTGGTGTTCAACTCTATTTTTTTGTGTATATGGATGACATCTTAGTCATGAGTTCTGATCTGGTTCGTGTAGCCGACCTTGTGGCTAAAATGGCGTTAGAGTTCAAGGTTCAGGATATGGGTGCTCTGTCCTTCTTTCTCGGCATTTAGACTGTTCCGTTGTCTAATGGGATGCTTCTGTCCCAACAGCGGTACATGAAGGACATTCTTAAGCGAGCTGGCATAGTTGACTGCAAGCCAATCTCTACTCCTGTTTCTCTTGTTCGGTCTGATGATGCTACTCTGGTTCCTTTTGCTGACCCTACTCATTATCGCAGTTTAGGCGGGGCTCTCCAATATCTTACGGTAACTTGGCCTGACTTATCTTTTGCTGTTAATAAATTGTGTCAGCATATGCATGCGCCTACTACTGCGGACTGGAGCATGTTGAAGCGTGTGTTGCGTTATGTGAAAGGCACTCTGGGTTTTGGTCTTCGTATTCAGAAATCTATGTCTGTTGATATTCATGCCTTCTCTGATTCGGATTGGGCTGGCAATCCAGATGATCAATAATCAACGAGCTGTTTTGCAGTGTTTTTGGGCAGCAACATGATTTTGTGGACGTGTAGGAAACATCGTACAATTGCTCGATCTTCTACTGAGGCTAAGTACAAGGCATTAGCTGATGTCTCTGTATAGGTCACTTTGGCTTGTTTCTCTTCTGCGGGAAATTGGTCTGCCGCAGGTGTCTCCGCCCAAGCTTTGGTGTGACAATCTAGGTGCTACATATCTTTGTGCCAATCCCGTGTTTCATGCCAGGACCAAGCACATTGAGATCGACTATCATTTTGTTCGTGACAAGGTCTCGAAGAAGGAGCTGCTGGTTCACTTTATTTCCACAAAGGACCAGTTAGCTGATATTTTTACTAAGGCTTTGCCTTCTATTCGTTTTTGTTTCTTGAGAGACAAGCTCAATGTTGCTAGCAACCCTGTGCTTGAGGGGGAGTGTTAGGACTTATATGTTAGTCGTCTATTAGGACTCTAGTTATGTGTCCTCTATATTATTCTTGTACCTGACTCTGTTATGATTTACATCAGATATTCTAGCCTCATCATTACCCTATAGAGAATTTTTCACTTTTCTTTTCCCACCAAAATGTTAAATCCCCGACCCTAAATGCCTCCACACTACGACTCGAAAAGTATTTGAGATGATATAAATTATAGTAACTCAACGGTATATTAGACAAGGCCCAATGTTACTGCGCACAAGGAATTTATCCACTTTGAGTATAATCCCCAATCCTCACACTGCCGATGCCGAGTTTCAAACTTTAGTCTCTTTCGGTCTTTTTCAAATACTATCTAATCAACCAGTGAGCTAAGTCTGTATGGACGAATTTTTCACTTTTTGAACCCACGATTATTGAACAATTTTCACATTTGGTTCTAACTTTTAATTTTTCACATTTGATGCAAGATTTTTAAAACTTTTTCGTGTTTAGTCTATTTGACCTAATTTTTTTTGTCATCACTCATCAATAACCAAATTAAATCATGCGCTATATAAGTTATTTATACTAAAAGACAGTTTCTATGTCAATCAAGATATTAAATTACATAGCGCATAATTTAATTTGGTCATTCATGATTAGAAATTAAGTTGAAGAAATTGGATGTGACAAGGTTTTTATTTAAAAAATGAATAATAAGAGGACCAAATGTAAAAATTGGTAAATAGTAACCTTTTGTTGGATAATAATAATGTTCCGTTTTATTTGAAGACATTCCCATTTGATGCAATCTGCAACGGTTACATTTATTTGAATTTCAAAAATTTAACCGTTACGCTCCTTTTAAAATATATAAGCCCCTCGGCCCTCCCTGTTTGTGAAGAAACGAAAATCACTGCAACTAGCCGTTTCTCATTTCAAACTCCCTTTTTCCCAGCCATGGCCGCCATTGCAGAAATGCCCAATCCCATCCCTGCGAAGAAAGCGAGATCCAGAAAACCACTGAAGCAGAAAAACGCTTCATCAAGCGAGGCCAATGTCTTGGCCGCCGCTGCCTCCCAATCCCCAGACGTTCCCCTCCCGGTAGAAGAGTCCGCTGGGAAAGAGAACCATGAGAGTCTATCTCAGAATCAGAAGAAATCCAAGAGAGGAGGAGGGGGCTCGAAGGCGAAAAAGCAGTCCGAGGAGTCGTCTTCGTTCGAGAAGGAACTCCAGGAAATGCAGGACAGGCTCCAGAGACTGAAGATTGAGAAGGAACAGACGGAGGAACTGTTGAAGGCCAGGGAGGAAATGCTGAAGCAGAAAGAGGAAGAGCTTGAAATCCGCGGCAAAGAACAGGAGAAGCTTCAATTGGAACTCAAGAAATTGCAGAAGATGAAAGAATTCAAACCCACTCTCGTACGTTTCTTGATTCTTCACCTAAAACGTGATATAGAAATAATCTTTATAATTGTTCATTAATCTTGATAACTTTCTCCAGAACTTGCCAATTCTGAAATCCCTGGAAGAGAAAGAACAAGGGAAGAAAGGCAAGAATCCCGGAACGAAAAGGCCGGCAACACCTTATCTGTTATGGTGCAAAGACCAGTGGAATGAGGTAATTCGATCAATTCATGCTCCAAAATTATATATCTATATACACAATCTCCATGGATATTTTCTGAGAATTTAAAAATGGCGAAATTGATGATGGGTTTAGGTAAAGAAAGCGAACCCAGATGCGGAGTTCAAGGAGATAACAAATCAGCTTGGGGCAAAATGGAAGACGCTCACCCCGGAAGACAAGAAGCCGTACGAGGAAAAGTACATGGCCGAGAAAGAAGAATACTTGAAGGTTGTCGGAAATGAGAAGCGTGAACAAGAAGCAATGAGGCTCTTGGAGGAGGAGCACAAGCAGAAGACCGCCATGGAATTGCTCGACCAATTCATCCAGTTTCAGCAAGAAACAACAGCCAATGAAAACAACAACAAGAAGAAGAAAAAGTAAACCCCCCCTTCCCTTTCAAGATCTTCTGTATATATGTCCCAAAATTGATCTCATTTTGTTGTATACAGGAAGGAGAAAGATCCATTGAAACCAAAGCAACCATTGTCGGCTTTTTTCGTGTTCACGAATCAGAGGCGCGCTGCTTTGCTTGCTGAGAACAAGAATGTGAAAGAGGTGGCAAAGATCACAGGTGAAGAATGGAAGAACATGAGTGATGACCAGAAAGCACCCTATGAAGAAATTGCAGCAAAGAACAAGGAACAGTATGTTCAAGAAATGGAGGTTTACAGAAAGATGAAGGAGGAGGAAGCTGCCAGCCACAAGAAGGAAGAGGAGGATATGATCAAGCTCAAGAAGCAGGAAGCTATGCAATTGCTAAAGAAGAAGGAGAAGACAGAAAATCTCATTAAGGTATGTAGTTTTCTCTGCTGGTTTACAGCTTTGATTTTGAGGTGCAAAATGATTAAAACATTTTGCAATGCAGAAAACAAAAGAGAATCAAAGAAAGAAACAGAAGGAAGAGAAGAATGTAGATCCCAACAGGCAAAAGAAGCCAGCTTCCTCGTTCATTCTGTTCAGCAAAGAGGAAAGGAAGAAGATAGTGGAAGAGAAGCCTGGAACCAACAATACAACAGTTAATGCTCTCATTTCTCTCAAATGGAAGGTATAAAATGATTCCAACTCTTTTTTATTTTTTAATTTGTTATAAACTATGGGAAACTATGTGCAAGTTCGACCTCTAGAACGATGTAGCATTATGATTGGTTTTGTTGCAGGAGCTGAGTGAAGAAGAGAAACAAGTTTGGAACAGCAAAGCTGCTGAGGCCATGGAGGCATACAAGAAGGAATTGGAGGAATACAATAAATCTGCAGCAGAGTGTCAGAACAGCAAGAAATGAACAATTTCAGCCCCCAATGTTCAATTTGTTTGTGTTGAACATCTCTTTCTCATTTGTAGTTGTAATGTGCTTATTTGACTTGACTTTTAGTTTTTTTTTTTTTTTTTTTTTGACTTGACTTTTAGTTAGTTGTACTAGTAACGGAAGAATTAATTCTCTTTGAAATGTGAAAAACATTTCATATTTATTGCTCCTTACCTACCAAATTCATCAACCCAAGTTAATAATATTAATCAAGTAAAATAAAAATTGACATGATTAATAATTGGCATCATATTAATCAAGTAAAATACCAAATTGGCATTTGTGGACTTGTGGCATTATAAAAAGATTTGTCTTGTAATTGTTTCCGAAAAGGTTGAACCTACAACCTGCTAACCCCACGCCTAGTTTGGCAGAGTACTTGGAAAGATTTAATCATGGTAACTTAGCTAAACACATAAGCTATACATTTGCTTATTGTTCATTGTTACTGGTGAGACTCGATTCCGAGTCATTGTTTCCAAACTTAACGTCTGAACTATTCATGCTTTGAGTTAATGGTTATGGACTTATTCATAAATTAAATGTTTAAAATAATTTTAGAAACCATAATTCTTTATCAAAAATTAAGTGTGTACCTTGAATTTTTATTTCTTGCACTATCTAGGGACAGAAATACTTGTTTTAATTTTTGTGTCTTTATTTCAAGATTACTTCCACTATATTACGTTGTCTTGTGTCTCTGTATTTCTGCCAATAATAGAAATGACGCCGATTCCAATTCATCTTGCATCTAAATATCTAATCTATTGATATATTTTTTTTTTTTTTGAGAATAACATAACTTCATCTATTGATATTTGTTAGAAACTTAAATTCATTGTCGTGTTTGTGTGCATAAAACACCAGAGAGGAAATTTTGAGGGCTTACGAAAATGAAAAATAAGAAAATATAAGATAAACGTTACGAAATATGAAAGACATGTACGAATAAAAATAATAATAATAAAAAAGTTTTCGTAAGGTTTTTGGCTATATATCCCTGGAGTACTATGAGTAAGTCCTAACATATTTAAATTTTTTATATCAATTAATTCCAATTTACACGCTAAGTTTGTACAAGGGGCCATGGGAAGAAATATATTTTAAATGTTGAAAGTTGAAACAGTTACCTATTTAAAAATTTTTGAGATCATAATTTGAGGGGAAAATTTGAAAAGATAGTTAAGATAAATTATGTTTGGACAAGAATATTGAAGAGCTATAGACTTTTGAACTAACAAATCTTTTTTTTCTTTTTCCCTATCATCAAACTTTAAATTTTAAATTTATTTTGTATTAGTTAATCAGTTGAACTGTGGATGTAAACATATATGATTCTATGTATTTGAGAATAATAATAAATAAGTAAAATCTAATGTAGTTACGGTTGTACTTCCTTCATCCAGACTTAAGCCCATAAGCTGTCCTTCTCATGCAAGAGCCTCCAACCTATTTTTGCTTAAAAAGCAAAGATTCATGGCTTCCATTTTTTGGATACCTAAGCCACCATGGGACTTATTCTTCGTAATTAAATCACATCTCACTAGATGACACCTTCTTCCACCTTCATTACTACTCCACAGGAAGTCCCGGATGAGCCTCTCAATAGCAAGACATACTCCGACGGACAATAAGACTGTCTCCATGGAATTGATTTAACGCATATTGAGCCAATACCTGTCTACCAGAGGGACAGAGTTTTGGACTTCCATCTCGCAAGTTTTACTTTTAATCTTCTTAAGATGCTATCAAAGGACTCTGAATTCAGTCTTCCATGGATCGAAACATTTTTATAAATTTGATATTTATATTTTAAGATAAGAGATAACTAACATATAACTTTAATATATAATATGTATATTATTATTATTATTATTATTATTATTATTATTATTATTATTATCATTATTATTATTATTATTATTATTGAAGAAGAAGAAGATAAAAAAATATATGGTGGATGCATGTGTATAGTAACAACAGTGGAAAAGATAACAAAAGTTATAACGGCAGGGATATGTTTATCTAAAATATTGTATAATACAACTTTTATAGTATAATGTATAAAAAAAAAAAAAAAAAACTTAACAAAAAAAATAAATATAAATGAAAAGTATAACATTTATTCACAATTATTATGTTTTTAGATTGTTGAGTTTATTTTTGTATCAATGATAATTGAGTGAATTCTTAACTTAAATATTTTTGTTTAAATTTATTCGAACACCCCCTCCTCATCCACAAAGTCAAACAAACCCACCTCCCCAACCGTTATAATTTGTTTTGAAAGAAATAAATTCATTTTTCCCTATAAAAATAATATCTATAAATAAATTGTGGTGCACATTTATGATGAGGACTAGCTATTTTTTATTTGTTGGTTTCACACTTTCACATTCACCATAATGATTTGTCTATAAACGTGTAATGATAACATTTTTGCCATTTAACTTTTCTTTTTCCCCGTTAATAAAACCCTACTCGATCTCAATATAGGAAGAATTTAAGAGAGTGATTTTTTTTTTTAATAAAAGATTAAAAATTTGTTTCAATTCTAATTTTATGTTTATGGTTTATGTAATATTAATAAAATATTTTTAAAATTATCAACAATATTAATGTGGATCATACTAAATGCAATGAAGTACTATTGGAAATTATTATTAATAGTACTATAGTACCTAATAATATATATAATTGTACAAATATTATCCGGACTGATATATAATATAGATATTTTTTGGAAATATTATATGTATTATAGAAATTTTTTGAAATACTATAAAGGGATAAAAATGACTGACTAATAGATAATTTTATGTGAGAAATTTAAGCGTACTCAAGGAGCCAAGTTGTTATATTGGTCTGGGTGTTGCTCTGGGCAAATTATGCTGTGCATCCGTATGCACCATATATGCACCATGTATGGTGCATATGGATGCAAAAACGACGTCGTTTTATTAAAAATGCGCATCTCACTTAAAAAAAATTCAGTTTCGATTCCTAGCAACAACATTATATTGTGTATAATTTAAACTATATATCCAGAATCAATGAACTAAAATTCCAGAATCGATGAACTAAAATTCCAGAATGAATGAACTAAAATTTCAAAATTTATGAACTAAGATTCCAGAATCTATGAACTAAAATTTCAGAATGAATGAACAACATAATGCTGTTGAGGAGAATCGATACTGATTTTTTTTTTTAAAGTTGGATGCGCGTTTTTAATAAAACAACGTCGTTTTTGCATCCGTATGCACGGATGCACAACATAACTATTGGCAAATTATTGTGTAGATTATGGTGCATACAATGCTATATGAATCATAATAAAAATTATATATTTTAATATACTAAAAGTATTTTGGTGCATACGGATGCACAACATGACTATTGGCAAATTATTGTGTAGACTATGGTGCATACAATGCTATATGAATATAATAAAAATTATATATTTTAATATACTAAAAGTATTTTATTTAATAGTATGATTTGATTACTGCTAAATTGTTGGCTAGTGTCTGCTCCACCGTGGCATCAATATCAATATGAAATTATTATATATATAAATTTACTAAACTGACCCCAGCATACAACTACCAACTACGTATGAGCTTCGATATTTATAGTTTATATTATATATATATATGTAAGAATGACGTTCAGCTGTCATCTTCTATTCTTCTTCTTCCCATAACTGCCAATAAACGTCTCTGTAGAGTCTTATCGACGCATCCGCCTCCGCCTTTCCGTCCACTCTTCTTCTTCTTCTTAACTGCTTATACGGAGTGAAATCGAATAGCGCGTATAAGTTTGTATTTGTACTGATCAACAGGGCGCGTTTATGGCGGAGCCTCCTCGGAGCGACGCGTTTCTGGAAGAGCGCCGTGATAACGACGCCGGAGCGGTGTTCGTGCTGGAATCCAAAGGTATTGTTATTTTTATCGGTCTTCTTTTGTTTTAATACCTGTTAGTATGTAACTATGTATTAGTATGTATATCGTTTTCCCCCATTTTTTTTTTTTTTTTTGATTCCCAAACGTGACGGGAATTGTGTTGGAGAACAGGGGAATGGTGGCACGCTGGATTTCACCTGACGACGGCGATAGTGGGGCCCTCTATACTGACTCTGCCTTACGCGTTCCGGGGGCTGGGTTGGGGCCTGGGGTTCCTCTGCCTCACCGCCATGGGAGTGGTGACCTTCTACTCCTACTATCTCATGTCTCTGGTGCTTGAACACTGTGAGAAGTCCGGCCGTCGCCACATCCGCTTCCGCGAGCTCGCCGCCGACGTTTTAGGTGCGTAGTACTAAAGTGCATTCATTAATTCCTACTTTCAATGGCTCATGGGAGCTCCTTTTACCGCTTTTAACTACTACACAGAGACTCGTTTTTCCACCATTTTGGGTAACATAGTTTGATCGCTGCGAAAAAGGTAAATTCTATGTGGTAATGAGCTAAACATGTGAATTACAAACTGTTCGATCTCAATGCTTGATTATTTGGTTGTATAACTGGGGTGAACATTAACCATTTAATCACATCTCTATGGTAATTCGATGGTAGGATGCTGAATTCGCACTCCTATGAAAATGTTCTTTTGGGGGCTGAAAAGGAAGACTTTGTGTTGAGGATGGCATTGGACATTTTGAAAGGCTCATCAGTGTGAAAGCATTAAATCCATGGCGGATATAATAAGCTTACTAGCTGGCAGCCGCATATCCTATTGGGGATAATTCCTGGTTCACATGTAACTATAGGAAAAAGATCTAAAAGATATTTGATCACCCTCTTGTGGGGTAGCTCCTTGTGGACACTTGATTCACCCTCCACAATCCTTTCGGGTTGGAGTGAGGCCTTAAGGGCGAGACAAGTCACCCGATTCACCCTCCACAATCTTGTCGGGCTGGGTTGTGAGGCCCTTGGGGCGAGGAAAGATATTTAGATTGAATTTGTGGTCCCATGGTTCCATCCATTTCATACTTAACAACTCCATATTTGTAATTAGAAAAGCAAGTCTTTACAAATCTTTATTTTTTTCCCCTTTTTATATCCTTTAACATTAGTTACTTTAGACCTTAGAAAAATAGTCATTTTAACAGTGATGCTGGTAGGTTGGTAGCAATGAGCTCTTTTTGGTATAGAGAAGGTAGTTTATTATGGCAGCTTGCTGATCTGTTTTCTTGCAGGTTCTGGATGGATGTTTTATTTTGTAATATTCATTCAAACAGCCATTAACACTGGAATTAGCATAGGAGCAATTTTGCTTGCTGGAGAATGCATCCAGGTATACAGTGTAGTCTCTTTATAGGATATTACTGACTTTATGCTCTTAATGGAGACCTTTTAAGTGATTACCATGGGTTACTTTGTCCATATATAGTTTCTCAAAAGTAGTTCTACAGGAAATACTCAAGCACAATGGAACATTTTGTAGCTATATTGATTTGAAAGCCCTGTTATATAGTGATTTTAGTATAAATATTTAAACTGGTCCTTTGTTCAGATTATATGATGGAACACAGCATACCAATTGCCAAGTAGATAAATGAAGCATTCTGTAGCTCTTTATTCTGTAACTATATAATATTGATTCTAAAGGCAGTCTTTTGTTTTGTATTTGGTGGTACAAGATCATGTACTCGAACCTTTCACCCCATGGGTCGTTGAAGTTGTATGACTTCATAGCAATAGTAACGGGAGTCCAGATAGTTCTCTCGCAGTTTCCATCCTTCCACTCCCTCAGGCATATCAACCTGGTTTCCCTATTCCTGAGTTTGGGCTACACTTTCCTTGTAGTTGGTGCTTGCATTCGTGCTGGTAAATCCTTTGCAGTAATTGTCATTACAATCATGTCCTAATTCTACCAAATTTACCTGCATTTCGTGTCTGAATGTTTGACAAGATAGAAGAATGATAGAAATGACTTATTCATCAATATTTGATAGTTCTGATATGATCTAAGCATTTCCACTGTAATGCAGGAATGTCCAAAAATGCACCTTCAAGAGACTACTCATTAGAAACGTCGGAGTTGTCTCGAGTGTTCAGTGCATTCACTTCCATATCCATTATAGCTGCCATTTTTGGAAATGGTATTCTGCCTGAAATACAGGTCACCTCTTTTACTCCTAACTGAACTTCACTAAATCAAATACTACTGTTTAAGCCTGTAATTCTTGCATATTGATTTTCTTCACATATAAGAAGCATTTTTTTTTTTTGGTATCTTATAAGATTCGCTTAATTAATCCAGGCAACTCTTGCTCCACCAGTAACAGGAAAGATGGTGAAAGGGCTCACAATGTGTTACTCTGTGATTCTTGTCACCTTCTATTCTGCTGCGGTGTCTGGATATTGGGCATTTGGAAACAAGTCCAATTCAAACATCCTCAAGAGCTTAATGCCAGATGATGGACCTTCATTGGCTCCAACATGGGTATTAGGTCTTGGGGTTATGTTTGTTCTTCTTCAGCTCTTCGCTATTGCCCTGGTAAGTCTCATACATATATATCCATTCAAAACATACAGTTAGTTCCATTTTCGAGACTTTGGGTGCTACTGGTCTTTGCCCAACAATCCCCCAACCACCTTACCACGGGGTGCTAGACTTTGGCCTTTACTGGCCACCGCCCAAAAACAAGTTATCATCATCATCACTATCATCATCAATATAAGGTAATTAATTTGAGATATATATGATGATGATGCAGGTGTATTCTCAGGTGGCCTATGAAATAATGGAAACAAAATCTGCAGATGTGAACAAAGGGATGTTCTCTAAGAGAAACTTAATTCCGAGGATAATTCTCCGGTCACTGTACATGGCACTGTGTGGGTTTTTTGCAGCTATGTTACCATTCTTTGGGGACATCAATGGCGTAGTTGGAGCAATTGGGTTCATCCCTCTGGATTTCATTCTCCCAATGCTCCTCTACAACATGACTTTCAAACCCTCCAAGTCATCCCTAACCTTCTGGATTAACAACTTAATCATTATAGTGTTCACAGGTGCAGGACTTCTGGGCGCATTCTCTTCTATAAGGAAGTTGATCCTTGATGCCAATAAATTCAAGCTGTTCAGTAGTGACGTTGTGGACTGACAACATTGTTGTATAAATTTGTCTCTATAAATAGAAATGAATGCTCTGATCTTAGCTAGCTAGCTAAGCTAGCTTGTGCTTCATGTAATGTAATACTTAGCTCTAAACAGTTTGAATGTATAGACGTATAGTATACTACAAAGAAATGAGAAGAAAATGGACGGTGCATGGTGTAGAGAGTTTTGAGGTGAATACACGCAATCATGCAAAAATTGTGGAGGAGTTCACGTGTAGAACAATTGACTCCTTCAATTGTTGAATCAATTTAAGCCACATATTATATTCTCAACAATTTCCACATTAGATTAAATTTAACATGAAATCAATCACGTCAACAATTGACTAAATTTAAGCATTGTTTAAACTTTTAGTAATATTAATAGGTAGAGGCTTAGTATTTATTAGATTCTCTAATAGAACCTTATGCACAACTACTAACGTCGCGGATGAAATGGTATATGACAACAATGTTGATACGGTTAACTACCCTATGTATGCAAAGTGTATCGTGTATGTATATATTGAGAGTGTACATAAAATGTATGAATGATAGAGTAATCAAGAGAAGTAGCTTAACGTGATCTTTTTCTTTTTCCTTTTTAAATAATAAATAAATCTCTTATTCATTGATGTTCTTGTATCTTTAGGGAGGGTTCTAGTCTCTAGAGAGAGAGAGTGTGTAGTGGAGGAGAGGGGAAGGAACCTCTAACATGAAGGGCTAATGCCCTTTATATAGGCTCAAGCACTGACGGGCTTGACTTTGACCCGTGGACCACTGGACCATGACCCGAACTGTTTGACCGGTAAATTATTGTGTGTACCATGGTCCACACAATGTTATGTGGACCATAACAAAAAAATATATTTTTAATATACTAAATGTACATTATTTTTGTACTGAATGTACATTATTTAATATAATGTACACTCATAACAAAAATAATGTACATCCCATGAATACAATGTACATTATTTTAGTATTGAATGTACATTGTTTTCGTACTAAATGTACATTATTTTACAGTAGACAAAATATGGTCCACACAATAATGATTGTTGTTTGACCCCGATCCGACTACAAAACGAGAGCATTGACGTATAGGGAAGTTCAAATCGGGGTATATTCCCCATCAAATGTGTTTGATTTTGGCATGGTATGTATCATTATATTCTTGGCAAGATAGATAGCACTCCGACTATCTGAAAACACAACAATTTAACATTGTGAAATACCAAGCACCATAACCAAACCTCATACCCGTGCTATAATGATCATATGCATGACATCCAAAAATTCTTAAGATAGAATAATCAATAGAATTATGTGATGAATTCAGAGATCTATTCACCAAATAATAACATAGAGTAAAAACGACCTCAACCCAAAAAAATCATGTCATTTTCATAACACAACATTAGAGCAACCTCAACCGTTGGTGTTTTTTCTCCAATTTTTTTATTGGCCCCAATATCCACTATCTCACTCAAACTAAAAAATCATTCTTTCCAACAATTTAAGTTTTTTGTGCACCCACCAATTTACAAAAACCATATTATAATTATTTCTTTATTTATTATCATTCTAAAAATTATAATTGTAATTATAATTAATACTATTTATATTTAAATTAAACATGTCAAAATTTAATTTAATGTACAATTATAAAATTCCAATTCAAATAATATGATATCAAAATGGAATAAAGGTCAAATAGGTCATCCAACTACACACCAAAATGCAATTAGGTAATTGAACTCAAAAAACATGCAATTGGGTCCATGAACAACATAAAATGATGCAATTGAACTAAAAGTGACTTATTTACCTGTTAATTTGCTGACATAGATGTTATCATATTCAAAAAACATGGGTCCCTGAACAACACAAAATGATGCAATTGAACCAAAAATGACTTGTCGTCTGACATGGATGTTATCATATTCAAATAATATTTTTAATTTTACTTTAATAATTTTAAATAACAAAAAAAAAAGGGTGGGGAGAGGGGGGAGCTTCGTCTCTAAGCTGTCGGAAGACACGTAGAGACCTCTTCGTCTCCTCCGGCATGGAGACAAAACCCTTCGTCTCCAAGCACACTCGTTAGTAGACATATTTTACACTATTGTTTTATGTACATCTTTATATATATATATATATATATATATATATATATATATATATATATATATATATATATATTTGCATTAATTATTTATAATTATATAATAACTATTTTTTTAAAGTTTAATAATCAATTAGTTAAATAAGTGTTTTATTAAATGCCTAGTTAATAATTTAAGTATTATTATTTGGTCCAATTCATTAGCATTAAGACAAAAGAAATAAAACATTAACATTGTTTTTTGTTTCTTCAATTCGTACAGCAAAGCAGCGGAACCACTTCGTCAAAATGATGCGCAAATCTTGACTTTGAGCGATGTCTGTGGAGGATCTCGTCCTACAAGGCTGAAATAGGAAATGAATGGTAGAAAATAATTAAAGAGGTGTATGAATATTGAAAAATTCTCTTTTTGAGGACGCCAATTCTTCTTCCTCTAAATTATCCTAATTCTTCTTTCTTTGAAGTTGTTATCAATATCTCTGCAGCTAAATTTCTTTAGCTTGGTTTAGTAAATTGATAACAACTACTTCAAAGAAAGAAAAATTAAAGATAATTTAGAGGAAGAATCGGCGTTCTCAACAAAAAAAATTTCCACTATTTATACACCTCTCAAATCATTTTCCACCATCCATTTCCTATTTCAGCGCCATAAAACGAGATCTTCCACAGACGCCGCTCAAGGTCGAGATTTGCGTAGCATTTTGACAAAATGCTTCCGCTGCTTTGTCGCACGTTCTAAAGAAAATTAGTCACGCAAAACCATTGATGCAAGAAGAATATATATATACACACACATACACGTGAGGAAAATAACACATTAAATAAAGATGAATTGTAAAATGAGTTGATGTTGATGAGTGATAAGGGGCCATTACAAAGCAACATACTAATCTATTTATATATGAAGAGAAGGAGATAATTGCGCCATTAGCATGCATCGTGGGAGAGGAATGCGGCGAAGACATGCAACGTGGAAGCTAGGTGGTGGATGACTCAGTCTTCTTTGCTGTTGTGCCGCACATTCTATACGAATTGAAGAAACAAAAAGCAATGTTAATGTTTTATTTCATTTTTCTTAATGCTATGAATTGGACCAAACAATAATACTTTAAATTATTAACTAGGCATTTAATAACGCTTATTTAACTAATTGATTATTAAACTTTAAAAAGAAATAGTTATTATATAATTTATAAATAATTAATGTAAAATTATTATAAAGATGTACATAAAATAAGAGTGTAAAATATGTCTATCAAATTTCCGCGCACTAGAACGTTTGCTTGTCCCCAAACAAAAATATTATTTGCGAAATAAATTAAAATGAAATTCTCAAAACACATAACACATCACGAACAACAATGCGAAGCATCTTGCAATTAATAAGTTAACACACATGTTCAGAAATGGAGAGAACTAAAAAAGTAAGCCATCACAGGAATATCACTCATCACTCAAGAGTAAGTGATCCCCCTCAAACTTATTCTTCACAAACTCACGTAGGTTACAAAAATAAAATCTCTGCTCCACTAGTTATTCAGCTAGGTCAATGCATTCTTTTTTTTAGACATAAAAGGCTTATAATGTAGTTCAAAATAAAGAATGGAATGACCACAAAGCTCAAAGTGGGTTAACAAAGGAAAATAAATCATAGAACAAACCAGTTATTTGGCTAGTGAAGCTCAAAATCAAATAATGGTCTTAATCACACTTGAATCATGCATGGTCAAATTAGCTTTCACAGAGAATCAATGCAAATTCTAGAGAAACAAAATTATGGAAAAAATCACACAATAAAAAAAAAATAAGACCGAAGTGTCAGTCAATGTCTCAAAACACTCACATGTTTATTGCTTACTTAATCTAGCCACTACATATCAAACAAGAAATGCTAACAAACTAATCACAACTTGCCAGACTATTTATTCAATCATGTTATGAATTTCGAGAAATGAAAGTTTTTTTTTTATATAAAAATAATAATACTTATTTTGCAGAATATACTAGTAAAAATATTTTTGAAATTTTTTCCATGAACAAATAATAAACCCAAATTCCTTCCTCCACACTTATTATCAACATTGTCCCCAATGTTGAATAAAATGCATAGAAGAAGAAAAAAATAAATAAGAATAGTGAATAAAAGAAAAAGAATGGAACAAATGCCTCCCAAACAGCGCCTTTGTTTATTGTCGTTGACTCGACTTATGGTTTTAGTATTTCTTTAAGTTTTCATCATCTCTTCGAGTACCTTTGATGATTACGATTATTCTAATAAACAGTCCCTTACTGCAAATTACCACTCAAAAATAATTTATTATTTTTTTCTTTTTTATTCTCAATAGACGCAATTTCATCAAATTTAACAAGTTTCAAAAAATCAATAAAAATTGTAAAATTATCATCACTAGAAGATTTTATGGTATCATAATTACTAAAATTCACAAATTTACCATTAAACTCCATACTAAGCATGCACTATGAATATCAATTTAAGTTTTTGTAGTTTTTAAGAATGACCTTCCATACTATAATAATATACTAGGGCCAAAGAAATGTTTTGGATAAAAAAATAGAATTAACTATTTGAGTTATATATAGACATGCTCAAATGAAAACATGGTAAGTGATGATTGGTCTTACCCGTCAATCAGGATTTATCAATTATTGAGAGTTTTAGTTAGAAAAAATATGAAGTCAATTTTATAGTTAGTGAAACTTGAAAGTTCAAAACCCTAAAATGTAATTCTAAACACACCTCCTCCATCTCCCGCCCTCCCCTGCAATTCTGCGACTCCTGCGAGCAGCCGACGAGGACAGCGACAGCCGCCGACAAGGACTCCGCTTCCCCTGCGACAGCCGACCAGGACTTCGCCTCCCTTGCTACAGCCGACGAGGACTCACTTCCAGAATTCTGGGTAGGTCTTTCTTAGCAGTTAGCACCTGTTATTTATCAGATGGGAGATGAAATATTCATGTTCTTGATGTGATTCTGCAGTTAGCACCTGTGTCTTGGCCGTGCCATTTTGGCTGCCTTATGCAGCCTTTGGCACGGCTGTGTCCAGGCCGTGTCGCGACGGACAGTCAGTGACACGGCCATCGAGCTTGAAACTTCAATTTATATTATTAATTGTAGCATGGAATTAAATAGGTCCAACTCTAGCTCAACTCGAGCTTGAAAGTTCAAGCAATCTGACTCAAACTAAGGTGATATTCATTTTGGTTGTAAGATTTTAGGAGTAATAGATTGCTAGCAACTTCAATTTCTGCAGCTAGTTTCATCTATGCTGTGTTTGGACTGAAAAATATTAAATGTATTTATCTTGGTGTAATATTATTTTTTCATTTTATTCTGCCTTTAGCATTATGTTAACTGTAACACTGATCTTTCCTTGTGGTTCTTTCAATGCTTCAACTCTGCCATACAGTACCAGCAGGCATTTATGGTAATTTCCTCCCACTTTATGCATTTATTTTTTGAAAATGATTTTCATCTTTGGATTATGCATTCTGACTTTGATATGCTGAATCTGAAACAGCAAAGGTGAAGTCTGGAACTTCACTATCCAATGCATATATATTGAGAAAGAGAGAGGGAGAAGGGATGGATAAGGCTCTAGTGACGCTGGAAAAAGGCACGACATGCTCGGCATGGAATTACAGCGGGCAGAGATTAGCATCTGGTTCGACTGATGGAACTGTGGCTATCTACGATTCTAACGATCCAGATTCCTCAGTTTTTACTTGCTCTTCGAAATTTAGGGTTCGTAAATTTTCCTCCTTGTTTCTTGCCTCAAATCAAAATTTGCCCTTTACCTTCCTTTATTTGCTTAGTTTGTTGGAGTCTATCATTTCATTTTGAGATGAATGCAGTGTGGTTAAAATTAATAAATCCTTAGCTGTTACTAATTATCGAGAAATTCCAATTGCACCAAAGTGGTTCTAGTAATGTACGTCAGAATTAGGGTAGAGAAATTCAGTTGGATATGTCAAATGGGTATTGATTTAATAAAAAGTCTTGGTTGTGTTTCTTATTCGAACCTTTTGTTGTGGGTTTTGCAATTCCTTTTTACACGGATGGCTCCATGGAGATGGAATGAATGTATTTTGCAGTTCTGTGACTAGTAGCATTATTATTATTATTATTTTTTGAAGCTAACTTTGAGGATCAATTGTAACAAAAGCGTAAAGTAACTTATTTTAGATTTTCCAGAGGTAGACGTTGATAAAAAATTGCTGTTTAGTTTTTATATATGACCTTTTAAGGTACTTGACTGCTTGTTTTCATTAGTTCATGTTCATTTTGGTTTTCAGACTAACTGCTATTCATTTGAGCAAGAAAATTCTATGAATTTTTTAATTAAAATTTTTATTTTGGTAATTGAAATTTCTATTTGTAATTTCTTCTGTCATTTAATGTTAAAGGTCCATGAGACTGGTCTGATCAAGATTGTCTGGGTTCCACCAGAGTATGGAGATGGAATTGCATGTGTTTGTGATGACGGAACTTTGTCATTGTGGGAGGAGGTGTCAGAAGGTAAGCCAGCAGTTTTATGTGATTGCATTACCTGGAAAAGTTATGTCTGCCTTTGCTACCTTTCTTCTGGCTGGGACTTCAGTGTGTCATATAGTTAATTCATTTATCATTTTCTAGATTTGGAGACAGTTCAATGGAAATCGTGCAAATCCTTTGATAGAAACTCAAGTCGTGTTTTGGATATTCAATTTGGAGCCTCTCCCACTAGCCTGAAATTGGTAAGTTGGTTTTGTTTGCTTAGGGTTTCTATCTTTTCATTTGTGGGTCATAGTAATAGTTAGAATTGTCAAAGGAGGACTAGGAGGTAAAGAAAAGAGAAGCCTATGCCTTGCTCAAATTTTTTACTTCAGTGTAATCTTACTGGATGGTTGCAGCTGAAGCACCATTTTTTATAAGCCTATGCCTCACTCAAAGACTGTAATATACTGTGAATTTGGTTACCTTGGTTTATGCTCCATCTACATATTGCTAAATAAAGTTTTATCTGATATTGATTTTTGGGATAACTAGAAAATAAGCACCATTTTTAAAGATATAGGATGGATGCAAAATGGACTACTAGCTTCTTACCTTACATAGAACATGTGGCATAGGATGTGTATGTATTGAATGTTTCACCAAAGTTATCCATTTGATGGAGTTGTACAAATATGTCTGGAAGCAAAGAAGGGGAGCATCTAGAAATTGGGATGTTGCCTGATACAATCTTCCTAAATTAAACCTCAATTTTCAGCTTGTTGTACACGAGCTAGTTCTTCAAGTATTTGCATTGAGGGACATACTGAAAACCCTTGGATGATGCTCTTTGCTGCTATCTCTTATGAAAGAACAGGATTGGCATTGGCCTCATCAATACTTTATTGGGAACTGTTTTATAAGAGCACAAAAAATACTTTTATCTGTATTGTTTGCGCATGTAATCTGGTATACATTCTGCCTACGGCTGTTGAGTGTAGAAGTTCTTAGTTTAAATATTACTATATGTTGCTATCTTTACGATGCCGTTGCTTTGCTTCATATGCAGGTTGTTGCATATTCTGACGGCCAAGCAAAAATATTTGAGCTTCAAGATCCTTTAAACTTGAACAATTGGCAACTTCAGGTTTGCTATTGTGTTCTATTTTACTTTATTTTTTAGCTGATTGGGCAATTGAATGTGCTTGTACAGTCTGGCATTAAGCAATAACCTACATTTTTATTTTCAATTGATTATTGTTTGCCAGAAGTAGACCTTGCTTGCTTTACATTTTTCTCATATATTAACAAAATTTTTGGCACTTCATCACTTTTTAATTAAGAGGACCTAAATACTGACTCGTGCTTTTGTATTTTAAAATATTGAAACAATGGCTCTTCAACTTCTCTTGCTTAAATGTGAAATGTCCAATTAGCTTACTTAGAGTGGGGATAAGCTAATTAATCCAGCTTTCTCACATGTCACTTGAATTCCTTGCATAATTCACTCTGAACTTCCCTCCAAGTGGGGGATTGTTATCCTAGTTGATGCCTGCTGACATTAGTGATATGTTTTTCGTTTATTTCATGTGGTAATTTTCTACTTGATTCCTGTTATTCTAACTATTATATCTGGTCAGATATGCCACTTTTTCCATGTATCATATATTGGTAAAACTACAGAAATGTTATACTCTTTATAATTTAAATATTCTAAGATTTGTTTTGCAGGCTGAATTTCAGAATGTCATTGATTCTATATCTAAATTTGGGAAATGTTTATGCCTGTCTGCATCAATTGCTTGGAACCCATCAAAGGGTGAAACACAGCAGTCAAGCTTTGTCTTGGGTTTTAATTCTGATATCCCACAGTTGAATTCCTCTAAGGTATGTGAACCTTTACATGCTTAGTTTATGCCAGATAAACTTCCTGATGCTGTTTGGACTACTACTGCTATTTGGCTATATTTTTATGCAATTCTTTCATCTATGGTTATATCTCATGTTCCGACATCATGATTACTATTCTATTTTTTTCTGAATTATGTTGTATAACTTGTATTATTCCCTTTTAGTGAAATGTTCTAATCCATTGATTGATCTTATTCTGCAAACATTTTTTTCTCTTTTTGTCAGGTTTGGGAATTTGATCAGGATCATCAGAGATGGCTTCCAGTTGCAGAATTAGCTCTACCAGCAGATAAGGGTGATCAGGTTTTTGCAATTTCATGGGCTCCGAACATTGGAAGGTAGCAAACACTGTTAGGATATGATGGAAGTTATCTCCCTATTAGACGTTTGGTTCACTATATGTAAACTCACTGTACTACTATTGTGTAGGCCATATGAGGTAATAGCTGTGTCTACTTACAAAGGGATTGCGATATGGCATGTTGGATCAGAACCCGAGCCTGATGGAAGGCTTACGGTTGAGAAGGTTGCACTGCTTTCTCCCCATGATAACGAGGTATCAATATATTAAAGCCCTCTCATTAAGTTCCTTTTTCAATATCCATCACAATAGACGAATTATACATTTATAATGTGACTACTTGGTAACATGAAGTCGCGACTAAACCCAACATGTAACTTTGGATGTAATTTTCAAGGTATGGCAGTTGGAATGGGACATGAGCGGAATGACCCTGGCTTCTACAGGGAGCGATGGCCTTGTCCGATTGTGGCAGTCCAACATAGATGGCATTTGGCGTGAACAGGCAATATTTGAACCCACAAATTAGTCTGTATCACATCTCATCACCGGATGTGATTATGATAGTACTATTTCTTTTGAGTGACGAAGGAAACACGCAGTCAATACCTGAGAGTCTGATAGTGCTATTTTGTGATATGGTTCTTAACTTCAACTCATAGACTTCAATTTTTAAGTGATGTTACTATACATTTATTCATTCTAGTATTGTTAACTAAACTGCAATAACATAGTATCCTTAGAGCATGCATAATAGAGAAGAATATGGGGTTAATGTCAGATTAAATATTTTGGATGGGGTTATTTACAAGTGTGGGGTGGGGTTATTTCAAGAAATAATTGTCTTGTAAGGGTTGAGATATTTCTCTTCCCAAGGGAAGAGAAATATCAGAGAAGCATGGGCTGCTAGGGGTGAGCATCGGTCAATTACAGTTAATAACCGACAGATAATCGAATAACCGATGGCATTTTATAAATCTCCATAACCGATTGAAACTGACCGAACATACACTTTTAAATTGAAACTGATTATATCGGTTTCGGTCGATTATTCGGTTAACCGAATAACCGAGCATCCACAAGTATTATTACAAGTAATATTATAATATATTAGTTCGGTAAATCAGCATATATAAAGTAACGAAATAAACTTTATTGTAAATATGTATATATATATATAGTGTAAGGTTCCCATGCGGTTGTGCGGTTGATTAATGTGCGTGCGATTTGTACTCAATGTCCGTGAGTATTGTGCTTAATGTGCCTGAGATTTGTACTTAATGTGCGTGGGTGTGTAATGAGATTTGTACTTAATGTGCGTGGGTGTGTAATGTTAATGTGCGGGAGTTTTGAACTTAAGGTGTGTGAGTTTTGTGCCTAAGATGCGTGAGTTGTGTGCTTAATGTGCGTGACTGCGTGAGTTGTGTGCTTAATGTGCGTGACTGCGTGAATGTGTTCTTCATCCACTGTTGTGAAAATTATGCGCATCCACTGTTGCATTTTCTTATTGTTTTTTTTGTTTCGAAGTGGTGGAGGAATGGATTTTGTCTTGTTTTTAACATAAAATCAGAACAGCCATATGTACGTTTACATATATCTACCCATTCACACACAATCAGAAAAGCTTCACCCACTTTCTCTTTCTGTTCTGCTTCCTTCTGAGCTCGTAATTCTGAACTCAAGTCACGCACATTAAGCACAAACTTCACGCACATTAAGCACAATACTCAGGCACATTAAGTACATAACTTACGCACATTAACATTACACATTCACGCACATTAAGTACAAATCTCAAACACATTAAGCACGCGACTCACGCACATTAATCTACCGCACAACTGTACGGGAAGTCACAAATGCACCTGATCCCTTCCCTATATATATATATATATATATATATATATATATATATATATATATATATATATATATATATATATATATATATATATATATATATATATATAGGGTGGGTTCTAGTGAGGTTTATGTCTAAGGTGAGGTCTGAGGATAAAATCCCACCATCAGATGAGAGGATCTAACAGTCCAAAGATGATGGCTGGATGGAAATCAAACGCCCCGAACACGGCTTAATAACTTAATGTGTAATTAAGTTGGGGGTAAAAAAGTAAATAGATTGTTAATTGTGCAAGACTTGGATGGAAAACCCCTTTGTTTACGGGTCTTAACGCGTAGGGTTGTAACGTGCTAATAGGAAGGAGGTCTGTTGGATTTGCACATTGGAGACGCTTGGAGCAGACGAAACGGCAGCAACAAAGACCAACTCCTACTGGCGACTTCAACACCGAGACCAATGGCGGACGGAACACCAAGGCGGAGCAACCGGCGTGCGTCGATCGAAGCAACGAGCAGACTGCGTAAGTGTTTTTTTTTTTTTTTTTTTTTTTTTTTTTTTTTTTTTTTTTTTTTTAATAATCACTCAGATTTTTTATGAGCGATTGAGTGCAAAATGCAATTGCATGTATGTGTTAGTTCATTAGGGGTTAAAAAACTGGAAAATGGTGGGTTGGATTTGGGAGAAAAAAAACAGAGTGGTTGAAGTTGATTACGGTAGCGATTCTGCTGGAATCGGAAAAACCGGCAAGCCTGGGGAGAAGTTAACATAGGTAGGGGGGTATTAGTGGGCTGTTTCCGGGGAGAACCTTTTAACGCCGTGTTTTAAGATGGGTATTCTGTATGTGTGTTAATTTTTTTTTTTTTTGTTTTTTTTGGGAAAGATTAGAAAGACAGGAAAAAATATGGCTGTGTTTAGTTACCCGTTGGTGAAGAAGCACGGTGTTGATATGCTATCATGCACAAATGAAACTGGCATATTTTTTGTTTGGTGTGCATAATAATCTAGTTGTTTTGAAACTATGATGGAAGGGGTGTATAAAACTTACGATGGGTGTTCTGATTGTGTGTATTGGTTTTTTTTTTTTTAATTTTATGTTTAGTAATGATTAGCAACAGTGGAAAAATCATGACTGTTTAGTTACCCGTTGATGAAGAAGCACGGAGATGATATGCTATAATGCACAAATGAAAATTCCATGTTTTATGTTTGGTATGCATAGTTTTCTGCCTGTTTTTGAAACTGTGATGGTAGGGGTGTATAAAACTTAAGCATTGTACAGATTAAATAATGAGAGGAATGGATAATGTTGTAGTAATATTTTGTCTGATTCTGTGACTGTGTGCATATGTGCAGTGTAGACAATAATAAGAATGGATAATGTTGTGTAGAAAAAGAAATTAAAAACACATTGCATGAATACATGATTGGCTGCAAATTTAGGAAAAAGTGAATTGGGGGACCACAAAGGAGCAGATGGGGAAAGAAACAATTAGGGTATAGGGCAATAAAAGATTGACCAAAATTTGTCTTTAACAAAGTGTCTTCACTTAGAAAGCAATTAAAAAAAAAAAGAATAAATGGGACCCCCTGCCTGCACCATAAAAAGCAATTAAAAAGGGTAATAAATGGGACCCCTTAACTGCAACCTAATCTAAATAAAGTATGAAATGTGGCATGTGGCATTTTGTTGCATACTGAGCTATGCCATTTGTGTTTGTTCCTTGTTGGTGAATATGTGTGCAGGGAAGAAGGCAAAAATATCAAAGGTGCAGCCAAGTGTTGTGAGTGATCCCAACCTTGATGAAGACTTCGTAAGCCCACCAAAAGGAGACCGGCAACCGCAAAGACCGATTGCAAATGAGTGCTCAGAATACGAACTACTACCTGAAGAGGAGGCACGGTTTCCAAAATTCGAAACCCGGGCTATGGCAAAACACCTCGTTGAACCCATGAAAAAATTTGGATCGCTGCAAAGGAATGCAGTTAGGGAACTGGGTTTTGGGGATTTGTTGAAACTGAAGGTCGAAGACACGCCTCTGCGAATGGGGCATTGGTTGATGAAGAACTTTGACGGGAGTTCAAAAACGTTAAATTTAGGAAAGGGCCGGTTGCTAAAGACAAGAGAAGAGGATGTGGAGGCAGTCCTTGGATTTCCACGAGGACCCCGGCAGATTAAAAAGAGGGGCCGGAATGCAAAATGTGCCGAGCTCGATGCATGGAGAGCACAATACGAAAAGGGGGACCACACAATAACCCCTTACATGATAGGGTTGTTGTTAAAGGAGCATAACGATGGTGGAATTTGGTTCAAGAAGCACTTCACAGTCCTAGTGGCAAGCATCCTAATTTGCATTCAACAAAATGGATATGCAAATCAATCAATAATGCACGAGCTCAAGGATGTGAGCAAGATAAGGGAACTGAATTGGTACAAGTATTTGATTGACGAGCTAGTTGAATGTCACAACAAATGGGTGACAAAGCAGCACAAAAAATTTACTGGACCATTGCTATTTATAACGGTAAGCTCAGCATTCTGTGTGTAATTATTTTTAGTTTTGGCGTAAGGTTAAATGGTAATATGTGTATTGCGTTTATGATTATAATAATAACAACTGTTGTCATGAGAAATGAAAATGCAGATGTTGTACGTGGATAAAGTTGTGAACCCATGCCGATATGTCGAGCGAAACAGACCATCATTCATAGGCTGGATTTCAAAGCTGTTAAACGAGCGTGAGTTTGCGGAGATTAAGAAGGGGGGTTTGGTTTAGGAGTGATTGAGACAAACGGAGAAGAAGACGAGCAATTGAACGAGCACAACACGGTCGAAAACCAAGAAGATGAAGACGAAGATGCAGTAAAGGTAAAAACTTATAAGGTTAATTTAATAAGAAACTTTAATTGGTTAAAAACAAGCAAGTTGATTCGGTTAGTACTTACAATCTGGAACACGAAATGGCAGGCCATGGAGGTACGGTTTACAGATGATGCAAACCAAGTTATAAATAAAGTGCAAGAACTCAGTAAACTTGCGGATGAAGCTGGAAAGTACACACTGAGTCATACGACCTTCGAGAAATTAGTGGAGGCGGGAAAGTTGCTGTTAAGAGTAGGACAACGATATGTGGCAGCGAGAGCAAAATGCAATCACAATCAAGCACACCCCGAAACACAAGGTGCCGAAGAGCCAGTGAGCAGTGCATCAAAAAGTAACGATGAGGAGGGGGGCGAAGCAGATTTAGGCGACAAGGAGACAGAAGTACAAAATGAGATAAACATGCATATGGGAAACAACAAGGCAGCAGATGAAATGCCATCATTCAGTCTAGGCTTAACCCAGGAGATGCACAATCTACCGGTGGTGAGCGAACCAAATCAAGACCCCGTGATTGAAGATGATGCTCTAAGTAAAAAAAGGAATGTGATACTGTTAATTACTACGTAAGCAATAATTAAACACACTCGAGACCAATTAAAGCAAGTAAATATCTTTATTGATCGTGGTGAAGGCCCCAAGTACAATCTACTTGGTTGCTCTGAGTACCGACTGACTGCGGTCGAGATTCTCTAACAACAACCTATCGATCGTCCAAAAGTCCCTCACACTGTAGCTACTGTGGGTATTTATAGCCGCTGCGTCGGAGACACAAATCCGGTCGTTCGGCATGTTCTCCATGTAGCCACCACGTGTCATCCTCCCGGGTGCCCTGTCTGTCGTCGCAAGGAACCGCCACGTGTCCTTTGTCAGCTCTCTCGCCAAAGGGCTACCGCTCGGTGGTCGACACTGCCACTCGGGCAACTCCCGGTCGGACCCCGACCGAGTTCTTCACAAGAAGCCCGACCTGTTACCTGCAAAGACAAG